AAATTTGGTATATTACATCTGTGGGAATAAGGCGATAGCTAGACTTGAGTAATGTGCAAGAATCTAATTATGTGGTTAAATGGCTCCTGGGAATTTAGTACGTTGTTCTAAGAGAATAAATTAAAAAATCAGTAGATGATAAATAAGTAGATAGATGATAGATAAGTAGGTAGAGGGATAAATAGATAAATGATGGTAGGTAGATAAAGAAAGTAATTAATGCTGGATTAATTAGGAGAAAATGTTGTGAGGCTGAAAGTTTTGTTTATACAATTGGGAAACCTTGCCGTGTATTAAGAGTTCAGGAGGTTAAAAGTGTTAGCTCTCTGGGTTAGGTGGCTATAGGGCAGTGGTTCTCAAACTTGAGTGAGCCCCACAATCGCCTGAAGGCTGGTTACACTGTAGATTGCTGGCCCCACCCTCAGCATTTCTTTGATTATATTTAATACTTTTTAAAAAGTTTTTATTTCAATTGCAGTCAGTTAGCATACAGTGTAATATTAGTTTCAGGTGTACAGCCTAGGGATTCAACACTTGCATAAAACACCCAGTGCTCATCACAAGTGCGCTCCTTCATCCCCATCACCTGTTTACCCAATCTTCCTGCCCACCTCCACTACTTGGGATGATTTTAAGAATCGATCAAGTCCATGTCACTCATTTTTATAGCTCTGTAAATTTCTATTTCAGTTTTCCCCTAGACATTCCTTAACTGTTAAAGATGTAAACTACCTTTATTATGAGGCAGAAGCACATAGGAGATGTTAAGTTATAGTCAGTGTTTTAGTTCTGATGCAAGTGGTGACTATATATAAAAAGAATATGCAAATTATCTGAAAAAGGGCAAACTGTGGACCAGTGATGTGAACGGAATGCATCCTGAACTATATTTTATGATCACAATATCTATGACCTATTGAGGTCCATTACAAAGAGGGATTTAAGTGTTTATATCTGTGGGACTGAGCCTATAGATTTCAGTAATATTCAAGGATCATGTTCTTAGCCTTTGGTGCCTCATGGATTTTGATTTTATTATCATAATTAATAAATGAGAGAAACAAATAGGTCAGTTCATAAAGAGAAAAGGGTGTAGCATATTCAGCTATGAAAATATGTGGTGAGGCAAGAATTACTATTAATATAACTTGGAACAAGTAGAATTCATTAATAAATGGATCAGGGGTTACATTTTGGGGTAAGGATGATACAGATTGTGATATGTAATAGTATGTGTGCTTGGTTTTTTTTGGTTCTATTTAAATTCAAGTTAGTTAACATATAGTGTATTATTAATTTTGTGGTAGAATTTAGTGATTCATCTGTTACGTATAACACCCAGTGCTCATTACATCAAAGTGCCCTCCTTAATGTCCATCACCCAATTACTCCATCCCCCTACCCACCTCCCCTCCAGCAACCCTCAGTTTATTCTCCATAGTTAAGAGAGATGGCGTACGAGTCATGGACAATGGAAAATAAATATCTAAAACTTTAAGATCCAACACAATACATAATTAGTCGAATCTCTCTTTTAAAAATGATCTTATGGGCAGATGTCAGAAATACATAAAGGTCATATTCTCTTTGTGGCTTTATAGATTTAAATTTATTATCATCAATGGATCAGTGTTAGAACCATTTAAGAAATATAAATAAATAAAGAGAAAATGAAGCACTGTCCAGTTATGAACATATGTTGTGAGGCAGGACATATTATTATTATTATTTTTAAAGGTTTTATTTATTTATTTGACAGAGAGAGACACAGCGAGAGAGGGA